ATCCGTGATGCCGCGGCAGCATTTTGTAAAGACTCCCCCCCCGTAAATAAGAATCATGTCCACAAGTTCAGCATTTTCGTAAACACGTGCCATTTTTTATTTCGTTTGAGCCACGCAACAAACATCACTATTCACTCACGCGTTACCGACTGACACATTGACTGAATACAACTGAATAAAATTGTAGTAAAAACATCGTGATAAGCGTTTCAAATTTCGCTTTTTTGTTTCCGATGCGATAAACCGATAAGGCGGATTATATCCGTTGTTGCCAAACACGAGCACATAATATTATTATTGAGACAGGGCGGTACTCAAACTTCTAAAGAGCTATAACTTTGTAACTTTAATTTTACCACCAAAATGTTAAAGGAAAAAAACATTTATTTTGATCAGATCTACTCACTGTTAAAATAAATGACTCAACTTCGAAGTATACTGGAATATACTATTAATAATGTGGATCCTGAAATCAGTCACCTAAGGTGCGGACAATACCATCCAAATGAAGTCGCCGTCGTTCAGCTAGCAATCGCTTCAAAACCCGGATGATTAATTTGACTGCATTCGCGGCACTCTGCTGACGCGGCGCGGCGTTGTGCCGCTGAGCGCCAAAATGGCAAACAAACCAGATTGGTCCCGGATACGAACATCCAGGATTATCCTGCTGGAACACTGCCAGGTAAACAGGAGAACACGATGCCTTCACTGTCTGTCGCATCTCTTGGATGCGCTAGTTGTCCGAGTCGCATAAAAACTTTATGTCTCATTTTATTTTTATGGCAGGAAGTTTCATAGCAGAAACTTGAAAACGACGCTCTGTCTTTCCTATCAGTTTGGTACGGGTGGTCAAGCAAAACAAGTTCCGTCTAGCATTTCGTGGATTGGTGGCTTAATCTGTCTTAAGTCACTGGCACTCTTAACCCCCCCTACTCTCCGCTTTATCGAGCTAGCGCTTAAATTTGTAAGCCACCTGACAGCTGTTTTGCACTGACTCACCATTTGATTACATTTATCGTATTTTATTAATTTATTAATCAATATAAAAAAAAGGAAAAGAGGAATCACACCACCTTTTCCTTTTATTTATAAAAATAACGTGGCAAGAGGAAACTGAGAAATATACTAAGTGACATATAAATCCGAACACCCAGTTTAAATGGTTTTATTTTAATAAAATTTTGTATAAGTACTTAATGAAGCATAATAAGTAAATGATAAAAATTTCAAAATGATTGCACTGCTTTAAAGCCCTTTGACCTTTAATAATGTGTGGATGCACCCTGATGTGCTACGCATTCTCCAACGCGCCTAGGCATGCTTCTGATCAGGTGGTCAATGTCCTCCAGTGGTATCTCATTTCAGGCAACCACCAATTCCTCTCGAAGTGCTTCTAGAGTCTGAGGAGGACGTTGCAAATTGAGCAATCTGCTACCCATCATATCCCACACGTGCTCAATTGGGGATAAGTCGGGAGATCTTGGTGGCCATGGTAACAATGTGACATCATTATGTTGAAAGAAGTCTATTGTGACTCTTGCAACATGTGGTCGGGCATTATCTTGTTCGAAAGTTGGATCTGCCAGGGTGTCAAGATAGGGTAAAAGAAGGGGTTCTAGAACTTCGTGGATATAACGCTGCGCGTTCATATTACCTCTGATGAAGATTAAAGGTGACCTGGAACCATAAGCTATAGCACCCCAAACCATAACTCCAACAGTGTGATGAACATGTCTTTCAACAAAAAACTGTGGATTCCTCCTTTCACCACGTTGCCTTCTAACCCTGGCACGACCATCGTGCATGAATAAACAAAATCGAGACTCGTCACTAAAGACAATACTGTAACATTCCTGTTCCCAGAGTGACCGTTGTCTGCACCAGTCAAGGCGATTACGTCGGTGTTCTCGAGTTAAAGGTAGGACCCAGTGTGGCCGGTATGAAAACAAGCCAAAACTTCTCATTCGTCGGTAAACACTTCGCATGCCAATAGGTCTTCCGTGTTCTGCCAACCATTCATTTGCAATGGACCTGGTAGTGGAGAAACGGTCCCTTAAGGCCAATAATCTTAGGCGGCGATCTTCACGGTCTGTTGTTCTACGGCGGCGTCCAGTGCCCCTTGCTCTTTGCGTACGGCCTTCTCGAAGCCATGCCTGACAACACCTAACCACAGTGTCAACACTTCTTTGCACTCTAACTGCAATTGCCCGAAAAGAAAGTCCAGCTTCCCGAAGTCCCACTATACGGCCCCTATCAAACTCACTAAGTTGACGAAATCGTACAGGTCTCCGTACTCTAGGCATCGTAACCGATCGTAAAGGATGTCAAGAACCAAAATCCGCCAACGTTGATTCTTTACTGCGGCTGAAATATTCATTTTTAGAGTGTTAGTGAATTAAAAAAAAGCAGTATAAAAACCGGAATGTCCAACTGATAAGGCTGAAAATTGTTTCACTTGTTATTTACAGTAAGATAAATACATTCACCAACTTTTATTAAAATAAAACCATTTAAGCGGTCAAATTAATGTTTTCTTACCTCCGTCTTCAAACACATAAGACAGCAAAAAATGTACAATATACTGGCGAGTCGCTAAAAAAAGTCTAATTTCTAGGAAGGTTGTCGACACCTGCTAAAAAGTTCGAGCATGTGTTTTTCCACCACCGATCTGAGTATTTGTAGTCTGCAAAGTTTTGTTATAATTTGATATATACTGAGCGTAAACATACCTGTAAGTGTCTCCCAACTACGTGGAAAGTATTTCTTTACTCCAAGCAAATTACACCACATGCCTCGTATGTTTGCTAAGATTATGACGGGAGCGACTATATGGAAAAGTAAGATAAAGATATGATGGTTCAAATGTTCTAAAATGCAAGAGTTTGTTTCTTGCACTTTTTCCCAAAAATGTTGCGAAATCTGGTCAAAACCATTTATTGCTCTTATTTTCCAAGCTGCAATTTTCAGGATATTTGCGAATTGTCTTATTACAAACCTAGTAAGACCACGCCGGCGTCAGTCAGTGAATGAATGGCAAGGTTATTATAAAAAATTGTTAAATATGGATCGTTTTTAACTCACTAGTGGAGCAAACGGATTCCATTGAAGCTCTGTTATACTTGAATCTTTGGAAAGAAAATCACAATGCAAAAATGCTTTCTATGGCTGTAGATATTACACAGTCCGTTCTTTCCCCTACTAACCTGAAAAAGCGTCATCAAAAGCGTCCATCAATGGAGGAATGGCTCAACGACACGACGCATGCATTGTTGGTTGGTGAAAGCCAAGTAGTGTTTATTTCTGAGAAGATGTAAAAGAAAGTTGGTTGAGTAGCAAGATCGCATCTGGATAATTATACTAAGTGACATATAAATCCGATCACCGAGTTTAAATGGTTTTATTTTAATAAAAGTTGGCGAATGTATTTATCTTACTGTAAATAACAAGTGAAAAAATTTTCAGCCTTATCAGTTGGACATTCCGGTTTTTATACTGCTTTTTTTTAATTCACTAACGCTCTAAAAATGAATATTTCAGCCGCAGTAAAGAATCAACGTTAGCGGATTTTGGTTCTTGACATCCTTTAAGATCGGTTACGATGCCTAGAGTACGGAGACCTGTACGATTTCGTCAACCTAGTGAGCTTGATAGGGGCCGTATAGTGGGACTTCGGGAAGCTGGACTTTCTTTTCGGGCAATTGCAGTTAGAGTGCAAAGAAGTGTAGACACTGTGGTTAGGTGTTGTCAGGCATGGCTTCGAGAAGGCCGTACGCAAAGAGCAAGGGGCACTGGACGCCGCCGTAGAACAACAGACCGTGAAGATCGCCGCCTAAGATTATTGGCCTTAAGGGACCGTTTCTCCACTACCAGGTCCATTGCAAATGAATGGTTTGCAGAACACGGAAGACCTATTGGCATGCGAAGTGTTTACCGACGAATGAGAAGTTTTGGCTTGTTTTCATACCGGCCACACTGGGTCCTCCCTTTAACTCGAGAACACCGACGTAATCGCCTTGAGTGGTGCAGACAACGATCACTCTGGGATCAGGAATGGAACAGTATTGTCTTTAGTGACGAGTCTCGATTTTGTTTAGGCATGCACGATGGTCGTGCCAGGGTTAGAAGGCGACGTGGTGAAAGGAGGAATCCACATTTTTTTGTTGAAAGACATGTTCATCACACTGTTGGAGTTATGGTTTGGGGTGCTATAGCTTATGGTTCCAGGTCACCTTTAATCTTCATCAGAGGTAACATGAACGCGCAGCGTTATATCCACGAAGTTCTAGAACCCCATCTTTTACCCTAGCGTGACACCCTGGCAGATCCAACTTTCCAACAACATAATGCCCGACCACATGTTGCAAGAGTCACAATAAACTTCTTTCAACATAATGATGTCACATTGTTACCATGGCCACCAAGATCTCCCGACGTATCCCCAATTGAGCACGGGTGGGATATGATGGGTAGGAGATTGCTCAATTTGCAACGTCCTCCTCAGACTCTAGAAGCACTTCGAGAGGAGTTGGTGGTTGCCTGGAATGAGATACCACAGGAGGACATTGACCACCTTATCAGAAGAATGCCTAGGCGCGTTGGAGATTGCGTAGCACATCAGGGTGCATCCACACATTATTAAAGGTCAAAGGGCTTTAAAGAAGTGCAATCATTTTGAAATTTTTATCATTTACTTATTATGCTTCATTAAGTACTTATACAAAATTTGATCAAAATAAAACTATTTAAACTGGGTGTTCGGATTTATATGTCACTTAGTATATGTTTATTGGTCTGCATGTGTATGTCTATTAACTATACCCGACGAGTTATTTATATGTTGTCCTTTCTGAAGGCAGGTTATGTTCAAAGTTATAGATTACGATTTTTTTTCAAAAACTCAGAAGGATTACAGCAAATCACCACTACGCCCGCTGTTTTCCCTAACGTAAAACTAAATCATTAGGATTATGAAGAATATTCAAAGAAAATAAATATTACATATGACAGTGACAGTTGACTTAACGTTGACAGTTGACATGACAGCTGACGCGACGTATATACAATGCAATATGGCGGCGATGTACTTCCAGTCAAATTGCTGAAATGGAACTGCCCTACCGATAGTACCGTCCATCTGGCAACGTTGCTCCTTTCCCTAACGCCACCGCTAGATGAATCCACTCGTCAGACTCGGCAGCGTCGCAGTGACAGAGCCATGTTATCATTTATCATCATACAATTTCATTCTAAGCTTTAATATGTCAACAGGTGCTCAAAACTCCGAGGGCTGAAAGCGAATAAATATACTGCCGCCAGAATATTTAGATATAACCTGCGCCAACCCAACCCCCAACCACCAAATTTCAACCCCTACAATTTTTTTAAAGGACAGTCTGAATAGTCAAAAAACGACATATGAGAGATTGTTACTTTTATCGCTTTTTGCCTTTAGCTCCGCCACCACTGTACCGATTTTCAAATCTACAAGGTATTTTCATCCTTAGCATAGTAGTAACCTTATATGAAAACTTTATCAAAATCAAACTAGCACTTTATGAGTTGTAGAGCCAAGGATTAGAGGACAGACAGACTGTTTTTCCTGACGTACACGTCATATATAACATCCAAAAAACATAGTATCTAAACTGAATCCAAATTCAAGATCAGATGTAAATAATAACAGTTAGCGCGTGATCTCTCGGGAATAGGTGGGGACAACACCTCTTATTGGTAAATTCGCCATTAAATTTCAAGCGTTCTCCTAGCTGAATAATGCGCGGGGCAGGGGCAGGGCAGGCAGAGTTGCATTCGGGCCACCGACCGTCGCGTGTATCACTGCGTGCTCGTGTTTTCGTATTTACCTTGCTTGGTTGTTATTAAGTTTATTTGGGTACTTTGTTAAGTTTCTGTTTGTTATTGTTATTCCTCGTTATTATTTGTTTTGAACCAATCCTGAACATGTCCAGTACAGATACTGCTGACGAGACTGTAGGCTACTCCCTTAGCTCTCCTAGATAAAGCGATAAAAAAAAGACATCTTAGCGTAGACATGAAAGACGTCATATTGAATACATTCAAGATAGAGCGGAAGGAAGACGAAACATCAACTAACCCGAAAAAGGCTCTGAAAGTGGCAGATAAAATTGGGGTACGCCAAGCGACAGTGTACAATGTTTAGAACGAACATAAGAAAAAGCATGCTTTTCCAAGCCAATGACGGGTAAAAATCGCAAAAGTATCATAAGATCGTTGGATGATGCTGACAAGCATGCGATTCGGCGGAAAGTGCACGAGTTCTTCTTCAGAAACGAAATACCGACAGTTGATAAAGTACTACGGGAGGTTAACGAGGATGCTATGTTACCAAATTTCAAACGTTCGACTATTCATAAACTTTTGAAGCATCCTAATTTCGAATGGAAGAAACGAGGTCGTAACAGCTTACTTATGGATAGAGAAGAAGTTGTTCTGTGGAGGGGAGAGTACCTGACTAAAATTAAATCATTCAGGGATCAGCACAGGAAGATCTATTACCTGGACGAAACCTGAATTAACGCTGGGCACACTACTCCGAAGGTATGGGTTGACAAAACTGTGACTTCATCCAGAGGGGCATTTCTAGATGGACTGTCGACCGGATTGAAAAAACCAGCAGGTAAATAGATCGAAGTAGATCACGGTATCAATTTTTGCGCACAATATCTCTCTATCTTCGTACCTACAAGACGTGCATGTGTACTTAGCGGATTTTATCTTTCTAGGCAAAGGAAAAAGGCTCATTATTTGCCACATTGGGGGTGTAGATGGCTTCGTGGATGACGGCGTATGGTCTTTTGAGTCAAAAAAAAAACACTGACTACCATGAAGAGATGAATGGGGAAGCTTTCGAGAAGTGGTTTTTCAGGCATTTTACCACGTCTCGAAGACAATTCTGTGGTTGTTTTGGATAATGCTCCGTATCATTCTCGCAAAATAGAAAAAATCCCAACTTCAGTTTCTAGGAAATCAGACATTCAGAGCTGGCTCCGTTCCAAAAATATAACTTTCGACCCTTCCTTACTGAAATTTCAACTATTAGATATTGTGAAACAACACAGACCAAGACATGATAAATATGTCATAGATGAAATGGCCAAAGCACACCACAAAACAGTACTCCGTTTGCCGCCTTACCACTGTGAGCTCAACCCCATTGAGCTCATATGGGCAGACGTTAAGAATTTTGTTGCTGCACACAATACAACATTTAAATTTTCTGACATGCAAGAGCTGTTCGGAATTGCTATACAGAGGGTCACACCAGAAAGATGGCAAAAATGTGTGCAGCATGTTCAGGAGAAAGTGGAGGTAGCAATATGGGAGCTGGACAACATAATTGAGAGAGATTTTGAATCCATCATCATAAACATTAATGACGATAGCTCTTCAACTGAGTCTGAGTAAGTTTCGCATTTTTGTTTTGTCACAGAATACATATTATGGGAATCCTAGTTATAGTGAAATATTAACTTACAGATAAATTACAGACAATGCAAGTCCGAAGTGCACCTTCAAAATCTATTTTCAATTGATTGAGCAGCCTTATATTTATTCCATGTACAAAAGTGTCAATTCTACCCCTCGTTGACTACGGATTCATTTTGCATAATGAGAAGCTGGTTACCTCTGGTATGTATTTCTCCATGTTGTCTAGTTTGAAAAATCGGTAGAAACACTTAGCACCCCTTCAAGAATAAAAATTTGATTTTGCGACACCCTTAACGATAACTTCTTCACTATATCAGATAATTTCGTTAAATACTGTCATCTTTGTTTTACGACACGTTGGTGGTAGTCCATCATTCGGAGGTAGCCCTGAATGCGGCCCCGTACGCCATCCTTGCTTTTGGCAAGTTGAGTCATTAATTTTCAGATAATGATTGTAGAAGGAAGATAAACCAAAATATGTGTGTAAAAATAAAAAAAATAAAAAAGAAATAAAAAAATTTTACCTTGTTTTATAAAGTATCCTCCCGACAAGTATTTCAGTGCGGACCTGTATTTGATCGTGAGGTCTTGGAGCACCGGCATGCCGTCTCCTGTGAGGTCTTAAGTCACCTGATTTACGAGCCCGTTGTACTACATTAACAAAGGCACGAGGGGTTGGTTGCACTCGATTGCATAAACATGTGCCATTTTTTATTTCGTTTGAGCCACGCAACAGACACCACTATTCACTCACGCGTTACCGACTGACACTGACTGTATTCAACTGAATAAAATAATTGTTAAAACATCGTTCCAAATTCTTTCGCTTTTTTGTTTCCGATGCGATGAACCGATAAGGCGGATTATATCCGTTGTTGCCAAACACGAGTACCTAATATTATTATTGAGACAGGGCGGTACTCAAACTTCCAAAGGGCTATAACTTTGTTACTTTTATTTAACCAGAAAAATGATAAAGGAAAAAACATTTCTTTTGATCAGATCTACTCACTGTTAAAATAAATGATTCAACTTCGAAGTCACCCTGTATATCTTGGGTGTAAACACACTATAGCTGTCAATTTTTTTGCTATTAGAATACTTGCTAGCCATTGACGTAAGAAGTAACAAAAACGTTAAGTCAAAGCTAACTCCTTTTGCGTTGTCTTCGTGGCTGCCTCAATAATAAGCGACTCAAGTGTGCATTTATCCCAGATTTATCCGAGCTGACATTCCCACTAGCGGGCCGTTCTTAGCTGAAGTTACGCTTATGCTGTTGATACAAACTCGTATAGTACGAGGTATATTAACAGTCTGTTACTTGAGGCAATTCACTTCGTCCGCTGAACAAACAAAAGTGTCTGAACGGAGGAACTGGAACAGATGTGCATGTGTATATAGGACACAATAAGTTTCAGTTTGCGTATTGGGATTTCAGAAACTAGTAGGTATTTGTCATTTGGTGGACTATTGAGGCCAGTGGGTAAATAAGGGTGGGAGGGCGGTAGCCTGATCCTCCTCTCACGAGGGGTACAAGATACTGGACACGTTCTGGGTGCATTTGACAATTTTAGCTGACGCGCAATGGGTCCAAAAATGTTGCGGAAGCACCTGAGCTGTACGTGACTTCCCAACTAGCAAAGTAGTGGTATAAGCTTTTGGTAAAAGAACCGTTCAGCCATAAAAGCTATCTATTGTTGTTGCCTGCACACCAAAATGTTGGCTTAATGTTGTATGGAATGCAGATTTGCTTTTTGCAACATATTTGCTCTAAAATGAAGTGTTTAAAATATTCTTATAGCATAGTTATACAACACCTTATAGGGCAAACTTTTAACTGTTGCATAAACGTTTATACAACTATTTTATACGGCATATTTCCACGTTAGTCAAAATGGTTGTGTTGTGGCATCCATGGTAACATTTATATTATTTATATCACCTCAGATCCGCGACGCTGACGGTCATCTCCACATGGATGCGACCGAATCTGCCAACTTACTGGCAGAGTCCTTTAGTGATGACTTCGTCGATGAGCCTAATGGAGACCTTCTACCGACCACTATCTGCCATAGGTGTCCCAACAACCTTTGCGAAGTTGAGTTCCTGCCTGAAGATGTATTAATGCACCTGCGAAATCTGAAGACCTCTTCCTCCCCTGGTAAAGATGGGATGACGGCTGCTGTACTTAAAAACTGCGCTCCAGCACTGGCCCTACCATTAAGCTTGATATTCACATCGTCTTTTAGATCTCATGCTGGCTTAGTGCTTCTGTTACCCCTGTATTCAAAAAGGGCGACAAATCCTCCGCTAAAAATTATCGACCAATAAGTCTCGTTCCTATCGCCGCCAAAATAACTGAAAGAATCATATTAGATAAGCTCCTGTCATTTGCTTTCGAAAATGACCTTATCCCTAAGAATCAGCATGGATTTCTCCCTGGTCGATCAATAATGACCAACCTTCTCCACTCTCTCAACGATTGGACTCAGTATCTGGACACAAAGACTCCTGTTGATATAATCTACTTAGATTTTTCTAGGGCTTTCGATCGCGTACCACATAGAAGGCTTCTGTTTAAGTTGG